TATATATATATATATATATATATAATATATTTATTTATTTATTTGTATTTTATAAATAACGGCGACTTAAATTTGGCTGTTAATTTAACCAAACACTTTACAGATTTTAAGGTTATTTTTGCTCTTAAGGGTATGCTTTATTGAAACGAACTAGTAAATAAACGAAACATGTATGAACAAAGCCAGTTGCTAGTTCAAGTATTTTTTTAGTTTAAAAATTAGGCGGACCAGTATTTTGTGGATGTGTAGGAATTTCCAAAGGATGGATAGGCGTTTAGAAAATATTATTTTGAAACCTTTCTAGTAGCTCATTATGTTTTTAATTTCCTTTGCATAGAATTTCTTCAAAAAAGTTGCAGTCGACAAGACTTTCAGTAGGCGAGGAAGAAAAGGGCAATAAGGTTAACTCTGTTGTGGTTCTAGTAACGCCTCAAAACTTGGTGCATTTTTGGTAATTTTGTGGTGCGCACTTAGTGAAGTTATATTTATTGGGTAGAACATTTGTACGTTATTTCCAGTATATCGGGAAGAAAGGAACAGGGAAATGTGTTAATTTTAAATACTGATAGGTTGTTAATGTTTGAATGTTGGAGCAGGCAAAGAAGTTTTCAGAAAGCAGTACGAAATATGCAGTGAAAGGTTAAGAAGTAGGGGTTTCAATGCATATGGCGTAGCACCGCGCGCCGTGCATGTGTAAGACACAGAAATTGGCTAGGCTGTTTGAAAAATGCACACGAAGTTTTAGGAACGATTTGCCAATCTACGCGTACTTGATTTCTACTGTCTTGTTGGCAATAGTCGTGGCGGAAATTGGGCTACTTGTGTTTGCTCTGTGGTTGAATATTGCTGAGCAGCAGAGAGGGGAGCTCCCACTCTGCTTAAATTTTCAGGAAAAGGTAGGTCACCTTTAAGTTTTCAGAAAACGCTTACGGAACTTGTTAAGGATTACTGGCACATGCCCTTTGTATCTCATGGGGGATGAAAATATTTTGTATTCTCACTACCAAATGAATGTGGTAAAATTAAAAAACGAGGCACACGAAACAGTGCAAGAGTTGCTATTGGTCGTCTGCTTATTAATAAGAGTATTCTTTCCTCTTAGAAACTGACTCTTTTCTTGTGGTTTGATCTCCTAGAATTGTGCTTAGGTGTTCTAGATTTTCCTCACTTAAGTTGTATTTAGAGTTCTCAATTTTAGTTCACATAAGATTCATTTGTGAACATCACTTACGCAGTTCTTTTTGAACCTTTTAAACCAGACTCTTTTTCATGGTGGTTAAGGTCAACAACAAAAGTATCAAACGTTCGTGATTCTTCGGTAACACATTTTCTGCATGCGAAAGGCTCTAGATTTCTCACAGTTATTTGATCGGAGCATAATATGAATTTCTAGTCACCAAAGTAAGGATAGGGAATGGCTAGTTAGGAAAGATAGTAGACAAGGTCAATGTAACTTCACTTATAAAGTCACCCTCTCATCAGTAAACTTGAGGGACGAGCCTGCAATGAAAGTGCCAAAAAGCGAATATGCAGGCGAAAACATTACTGAGAAACCATGCAGCAGCTGTACCACTGGCTTTTACATTTGCTGCCGCAGAGTCTCTATGGAATCTACGAGCATTGTCGGTTTTAGGGACTAACTGTGCAATTTTTTCCGTCATTCTGAAGAGGGTGACAGTCAGTAATTTGGGGAAGCAGAAAATGAATGAACCAAGCTTTCCGTCTATTGGAAAGAACATTTTTCTGTTGAAAGTTTAAGGGACACAGTTGTGGGGATTGCAAAGTCTTTAAAAAAAATTTATGGGTCCCCAACTGTCAGGAAAGGTTCATGATCGGGACCGCGATACTGTTGCTGACTTGATTTTCCAAATCTTCACTGCACTTCCTTGAAAAATAGTTTTGTAAAGCTGCCTGAGTTCCTTCTCTTTTGCAGAAGCGGAGGACAAAACGGAGGAAGAACCACAAATGTATTGCGCTAGAGTAAACTATGGTACTTGGGATGTTCGTCGTACATTTGACTCACGAACTTCACCGGTAGCGAGGTGAATTATGCCGCTATATTCAAAGACTTTTCTGCTATAAGTTGTTGAAGTTTCTAACCAGAAAAAGTAATGGTGTAGGAGCACTGCTGGAACTACCTATCTTCACAGTGAGATAACTATGAGTTAAATGTACAAAAAGAGCGGCTCAATGGAACAGATTTCCAGATTACTGATATGCGGGTCGAAGTTGAAACTCCAATTAATTCTTATTCAGAAGGCTGCCCTACGGAGAATTAACAAGTGCTTTGCTGATGAGTAACGCAATTATAATTGTAGCTGTATCCCTGCTCAATTACACGGGGTTGTGTAAGCTGGTTCAAAACTCGCCAAAATGGTACCAATGATCTACAAAAATCTTTAGGAATAAAATTTTTAAAGAGCTCTTTTATTGTCAATACTTCAAAGGGAATTAAGCGAATAAAGAAGTTAAATTAGCAGTGAACGTTATGCACAGACATTTCGAATGGTAAAATCAAGACCAAAAAAATAATAAAACTGCCCGACTTGTAAAGAGGGCCGTTCCTTTGTTTCAATTGATATCACTCAACTAAAATAAAAATAAAACGCTGTAATAACAACGAAACTGCAACCTCAGGATAGCGATGCCACCAAAACGCTACATTATGAGAAAAATGACCGGTGGTCAGCAAGCAAAAATTACCTAGAGCCTCTGCTTATAACTAATGCACAAACCAAATTTACTTGGTCATGCCAAGTTCCGCTGAAGTAATATTTAACACAGAGAAAGAAGAGGATTGAGACCTAACATATTTTCTACGGGGCAAACAAAAACCGACAAGTAAGTAAAAACTGGGTAGAAATCTTCAATTAGAGGAATGTCGCAACCAACTTTCAGTGTTACCAAAACTATTTTGCAGACTGGGAGCGTCACTTCTCAGATGACTGTTCTAA